TAAGCTTCACCCATCAATGTACCTTTGTAAAGACTTCAACCCAACGTTATTTCATCTCGCCGATCTAAATAAATTCAATGGGACTGTGATAATCGGCACAGTGGACCGCTGGTCTAGTCGCTAATCCCCCGCTGCGGTTTCCCTTAGCGTGACCAGGTTTGAAGTTTGCTTACGACTGCGGTACCACGTTTCTATATTATTACAAACTAACAATAGGGGGCGCTCAGGAGTTAAGTGTTAACATTGTAAGGAATAGCCTTTAGTACTACCGCCCGAACATCGGGTGCGTAATTGCTCCCTATTGTTGGCTTGTGGCTATAAAAAAAAAAACGTAGTAAAGAACACAGCATCACAAAACAAACGGCTCTTTTCAGAGCCACCACAACTTCCAAAAAGAGATAATTCAGTCTGTCTTCAAAAAATAAAGTTTATAACATACCGTGGTTCCCACCCCCAAAAAAGGTTAATCTGAAGAATAAAAAAATAAAAATCTTAAACAAACTTAAGAACCCCTCCGGCCCCGCCGAAAAAACAATCCCAATGAAAACAGGTTTCCAAGATCTTCAAACGCCCCACCACATATACATTGTACAAATTTTAATCCAAAATTATGACTTTTGTTTATTTATTATTATTAACTTAAAAGAATCCCTCCCGACAAACAATAATCACCAATTGCTGCGAAATTACACATCATGAGACACTTAAACCCGGAAGTAATATTAGCGCCCTCTCTTGCCCGATTCCAGCAAATGCAAAACGAAAGCAAAATGTTACTTGGCACGAATGTGCGCTGTAGTTAACTGAAATAATTACAATTTCAAAGAATCCCCTCAGAAACAATAATACCCAACTGTTCCAAAAAAGTCAACAACAAAAAGTCAACAACCAAAAGGCATCTAAGGATCAGGAGTCATTAAAACCCGGAAGTAATGCATGTATTGGCGCCCTCTCTTGCCCGATTCCAGCAAATGCAAAATGAAAGCAAAATGTCACTCGGCACAATTTGTGCGAGTGACCTACTTGCCTGATTCTTCTCAGCGATGATGCCTTTTCCTCCGGATTCAGGTCCTCAAATATTGAACAATGTTCCCTTAAAGGTATTTTATTTATTTCATTTATTCATCACCATCAGTTAAATATTTAATATACATTAATAACAGACGTACATACCAACAAATGACCATCTTTTTATGTCTTCGGACGTGCGTTACACGATTAAAACACGCACGCACATGTACCGTACCTTGTGCACAACGAATGGGGAAAACTGCGCTCCGGTTTTAGCAAGGTTCCGGCTATAACGACAGTCTTGTGAAAGTCCATCGGACCTCGTTATAACGGGAGCCGACTGTATATGGTTACAAAAGCGATACTACAAAAGTATATCGCGATATTTTTCGGCAAATCGAATTCCACGATGTGCCGATTTTTTTTTATGAGATCGATACGATTTCCGATATGAAAATTAAATCGAAATATCGTGAAATATCGTCATACCGAACAGGCTTGACAGACGGAAAGGTAAGAAGTTGGGCTGACCAGGAACTTGCTGAAACAGATCATTTGCTTTTTTCCCCACGTAAACCTTATAAAAAATAGCACAGACAATTCTGATTACGTTTTCAATTTCCACGGAAGCCATTTTTACAGGGATGTGATTTATCCTTTTTTTTTCTGGAAATATGTTTTTTGGGCCTCAAAAGTCCACCAACGTGAATCATGTGAATCCGTTGAGAAAATACCGGTAGGAGGGTGGAATGTGCTAATTAATTATTCATAATGAGTTTTGCTTGCCGAAATATCCGAAATTTACTTTATTGCGTCGGCTCAGAGTGTTTGTGTACGTATGCTTCCAACATGGCTGCGCCCAACAAGTCGATACTGTCGCAAGGAGATTTATCAGTGCGAGAGCTTGATAAAGAGGTGAAAAATAAGTTCCGGTGGGAATGGTTACGGGATTTTGTTATTATTGACGGGCATCAGCATGAATTTCAAGAGTGTTTCGATATTAATAGCAACCCGCTGGCAAGGTTTTGTGCAATGTTTGCAACGACATTATCAACTACGCGTCGAGTGGAAAGAAATCACTCGTATCCCATGTGAAAACACCCAAAGCACATCAAAGCATGGCAAATACGGCGAGGTAACATGAAAATGCATGGTTCTCAACTTTGAGTACAGAAGAAACTTTATTAGAACAAGAGTACATTTTAACAAATGAAGGAAAATTCTTCTTAAAATTAAAACAAATTCTGCTTCAAAATTTCAGAGGAAAGTGCCCAGTAATTGCCTCAGATTGCACCACGCCTCTGATTTCAGGCATACAATTTTAAGGTTTTTTTGGTCACAGACCAACCACATCCTGTATAGTTTATTGATCGCGTAATTCTTTCTCCACACGTTCCCATGACCTGCGGCTGAATTCACCCTTACCGTACGTCCCTCCATCGACACTTATCTTTGCATACCCTTGAAAGGGCTTGCGGCGATTGCGTAGCGATCCCCGCCCAGCCATGTCGCGATATCCAATGACAGCTTACGTACGTCTGATTGCATTACGTATTTGCGATCTGGTCCAACTTAGGCCAAGTAAAAACAAATGTTCAGCGTCCGGGTTTTTGAAAAAAGAGGCGGTGCTTTATATTTTTATTTTCAAGATGGTTGCCATTCTTTTTCAAATTTCCGAAATCTGTTGGTTTTTACACTGTTCAAAGACACAAAAGTGAAACATACATACTAAACAAGAGAATTAACATATTTACAGTGATTTTGATAGTTTTTTTGCTCGATTTTAAAAGAATTCAAAACACTGCTACGCAGGCATTCTTGTCTACGTGGCCTGCATGCCGCTATGCAAGTTTCCACGAAAACATTTTTTGATTGACATAACATTTGATTTGTCTATGCGAATCAGCTTTCCTATCTAGGAATTTTCACAGCGATTGGAAACGGCATGCAGCTCCCAAAAATTCGAGGTTTTTTATAAAATCCATTCATAAATACCTAAGACAGTTTACCAATTCCCATTGGTCAAGAGCCCATCACATTGCCGGTCTTAAACGGATGATAAAGACATGGCTAGCTGGTCTTAAACACTTTTCCAATATCCCATGAAATTTCTATGGGGAGAAATTTGCTTAAGACGAAATCGGACAGTACAAAATTTCTGTTACAACAAAAGGTTTTGGCAACACCATTGCGTAAAAAAGCATTGTTAGCGACCCATTTATTACTTCACAGCTTTTTTTTTTCTTTCAGACCTAATCTGAAAGCAGCATAATTACGGTCATAAAGGTTTAATCTTGCCGACACTGTGGTACAATCTATGTTCACTAATCCCGCATTGTGGTTACCAACATGTTCCATGACGTAGTTCGTTTGGACCAAACCATTTGCGGTGAAGGTTGCGCTTTCCTCTGCACAATTTACCAGCATTTTCATTTTTTTCACCGTGTCAAAATTACAAGTAATGCTTTTTATGGAGTCAAAAACCTTTCCCCCGTTCAGAATAAGTTCGTAATTTTCGCAATATATTTTTTTTTGTAAAAGAATGTATACAAAAATCAATGTAATCTCCCAAAAGAGGGTGAAACACCCCTTTTCAAAATTAATGGATCCGTCCACAGAATGAATATTCATGGCAGTCACGAATCGAAAAGTTATTAATTTTTTACGGTAGCTACTTGTCAGCTTGTTGATGAAATAATTATGATTTCATAAGTTTGGCACAGTAAAAGGACCTGTTTGTTCTTAGAACAAAACTAATCAGCAATTATTGTCAGGAAGCAAGTTTTTAGTGCTCACCAGGGCATGCTAGGACAGGAGGGAACTCGTCAGGAAACAGTCAGCACGTGTGGGAAAATTTTATCACAGTTGCCGGGCCGGATAGGGCTGCGATCAGTAACATGGTAGCAATTTACAATGTTCACTTCTCAAGTCAAATTATAACAGTATTTTGTTTACACAACTAAAATAAGATTCATCCTTCAACTTGTGTTGTAGGCCCCTATAGCATGTGGAAATTGCGGTGCCTTTTTCTGTCACACGTGCGCGGTGCACACGTGTTTGTTCGAAAAGGGGAACGGCCTATGTGCTTTTCATTGTTTTTTGTAGCCCAAATGGACATGTACATGTACATTATGTATGCACTTCTGAAGCCGAACCGAACCGAAGTTTGGAGAGAAAAAAATCGAACCGAACCGAACTTTGAGGATCAGTTGCAGCACCTAAGTATGCGCGAAGCAGTTTGCTAACAGTTTTGAGAGCCAATGTGGTGTCTAGGTTTTATTCTGTCTCTATGCCCGTTGTTTGTATTACAAAAACATGGCATCCAAATTAACCCCTTAAGCACGGGTTATAATGGGGACATTCCTCCACACATAGAGCAAGTGGCCCGCATGACTGCACAGCCTTTGTGTGGTAGCGGGACTGCACAAAAGCAGCAGCTGTGGAACTACCCACTAGCTGTGTGCCACGGCATACCACAGCTGGCAACTGCATTCCAATGAGGATTAGCGGCCATGACCATGACCGCTTCCCGAGCTCATGGGGTTAACCAATCATCAGCTTAGTCCACATTTCTGATCGGAGTGACATCTCAATTTCGTTAAGTCGACTCCGATTGGCTGGCGTGTGGGGTCGCATAAATTTGCATGCTTAGATGTATATCAGACGTTGGACCGGAGACAGAGAGGGCTCCGTTGGACAATGGGTGATACTGGGACTACTGGGACCATACCTCAGTGTCATGTACGAACAAACTGAATTAGAATCATGTTATTAAGGGATTTAAATGGGAGGGTGCAAATGGAAAATATGATACAGCAACTTTTGAATGAGAAGTGCTAGCTAGACAAAATGCACAAAAAGCAAATGATCCTTGAATATACTTTAATACGGCACACAAAACAGTACTCTCATTTGTCCTTCTTTGTTGGTGGTGTTGGATTGCGTTTTGATTTCATTCTTTTGTTCCCCCCCCCCCCTCCTGTCCAAAGCTGCATACTGAAATGGCTGAAGGGTTTGTCAAACCAGAAGTGCCCACAGTGCAATGCAAAAGCTAAGAAAACGGACATACGTATCATCTACGCAAAGGCACTGCGAACCTTGGATACATCAGAGAGGGACAGGGCTCTGGATCAACTTAAAAAAGAAAAGGCAAGTAGTTTGCATATTATACATAATAACCAACCCTTTTCCGTTGAATATCCATGCTTTGGAACGTTGCTCATCAGTTCCTGTACATCCTGACATTTGTTCAAATATCATTATAAACAATGCATCTCTGAATAGTAAGACGGACCTAATGACCCTTGAGAGAGGTGTGTCCAGTATTGAATTTACACCATTAAGCAACAAAAATGATCAAGGCCAAATACAGATGCTTAAGGCCAAAAAAAAAGTCTCCGGTTTCTGGTCTGCGTATGCATCGCCGTAGCCATGCGCTTCAGCAAAATAAGAAAAAAATTTCAATGATGTCTCAAAACTGCCAAACTCACTGGTTTGACTGGAATCCTGCTGCTGCACAATTTTAATGTGTTTTTAGATGGGGTTACGATCGAGTATAAGCTTTATGTGGCCTCTTCGGGCTCCCATATATTTTGCACTAAATTTAGTCGAGCACCATTTGCAGACGGTGTTGTAATTTTGTAATTGTGCGTCTGGAAGCTAGACTGAAGGAGCGATGGTTGTGTATCTGGAACCTGTAAACGCTTTTGAATTAGCGCGCAGACTAATGACCAGCCTGGCAGCACATGCACGATGTCGATGTCCCTGTATTGTCTGACGTTTTCTCTGATTTTTCTCTTGACTATCCAAATTTCCCGAAGAATGTTAGTGTCGGTCGAGATCGTAATTGGGTGCAGAATTCTCAAGCCTTATGGCCTTACTGAGGTCACCTCAAGCTTCACCCTGAAGGATATTTTTGAGAGTTTTAAGGGGATCGAAGCGTCATCTGCAATATCAGCCGACATTTGAAGAAAAAAAAAGTGGGGGGGGGGGAACCATGTCGCCGCACCACTTTTGGGGCAAGCTCAATACCGGAAATCGGAGACTTTTTTGTTTGGCCTAGTAACTAACCTGATGAAGTTTTAGTTTTGTGAATGCTGTACATATGTCAAGAAAACCCAATATTCTGAATCTCGATTTCAGTTGAAAAGTTTCTATGTCATATTTTGAATTGCGCCCTCTCATGACACAATCCTGAAATCAGCATTCGGGACGTGATTCGCTTCAGCCAATTGTTGCTTCCGGTACGTCACACACTGAACCGACACATAATAGCAGCCGCGTGTACATGTATGTCGTGTCAACTCTTGCACCCATTCACGGTTTTGCCCAATTACAAACCAACTGCAAACAAAACTGTGTCACTTGACACATCTGTGCAAATTGCATTCTTTTGTTTTCTTCAAAATGACAGCATGCCATAAAAAATATTACACAGGGAGTTTTTGTCATTACTATCTTTAAACCAAGTAAGATTTCTAACAAGTTGGTCGGTTACCTTTTGGATAGCTGCAAATGGTCCATTGTCTTATACATTTTTTGTGTGTAATTGAGATGTGTTTTAGTGGCATGTAAATGCACTGAATGACTGAATGCCATTTCCACATAGGGTTTCACTTTGACGTGCATGAACTGCCTTGAACAAATACACCCATCTGTTGCTCCTGCAAGTATGCCAAATGTCTTCTGATTTCTCCCTTTTCTCTGTTTTACAGGAGGTAAGAAGGAAAGTAGAGATTGACATGGCGCAGGCCAACTTGCAGCTGCGGATGGCCATGCAGGAGATGAACCGCTTAAAAGCACAGATCAATGCTCAACAAGACCAGCTTAGAAACGCAAGGTAAATCAGATTTTCTGACTGTGTGGGTCCCTTAACCCTAAAAGGGCCGGGGGGGGGGGGGGGGGCGGAATCCACCTCCCTCCGACTTTTTCCGCGATAGCTTTGAAACAAAATTTTGTTGAGACCCGAGCTGTTATGACTTTTTAGCCTCGAGCCTCGCGCATCTTTTGATACCAAAAATATAAAAATCGGACCACGGGTTGTCGCGCAGTGAAACATTTTCCGACACTACACACTATGAAATCTGAATTTTGCCATATACATCGTGTACACAGAGCAGAATTACCATTCGTACATATGAATAATTAATTTGCCATAATTCCAAAACCCTTTGACCTATATAGCAGGGGTGTGATTTGTCCGGATTTTTCCGGATTTCCGGATTTTAGTCTAACGTCTGTGGAATTTAATGTGGATTCCGGATTTCCAACGTTTTCTGTTTCCGTAATATCGCCCAAAAACTTCTGGCGAAATATAGGCCCTAATTTACGATAATGGATGGACTGGTGACACAAGTCTAATAAGCAGTGCGGTCAAGAACCTGATAGACATCAATGCAGTGTGAGCAGTGGAGTACTTGAGGACCAGACTAAAAATAATTTTCAATGGGTTTGCACCTCGTGTTTGTATATTGCGTGTGGATGTGTGTATTGTGCATGTACTGTGCATAGTGACGATCGTAGCTAGCAATTCGCAAACACATTGGTGTCAATATTGCCGGGATGAGACCCATCAGCAGTGTGAGATTTTGTCAAGGAATTTAAGAGTATGGTTGAAAGAACTGGTAATAAAGTGTCACTGTGGATGGAAATCAGTTTGAGCTGCAGTAGTGCTTTGAAAAATAGCCACCACCAACACAAAATATCAAAAATGTTTTGGAAGCCTGGGACTGGAGTTTAAAGTAAGATTACTATAAACTTTTTAAGCACCGTTTATATTTTTTTTTGTGAATCGTTTCCTTGTCTCTGCAAACATGCAAAAGTATTAACATCACACACAGTAAAAGACATTATTGAATCAATCCCGTATGGATTATATTATTTAATGACCAGACATTTTTTCCTCATTTTTTCCCCCATTTGATTTCTTTACTGAAGTGACAAAATTTGCAAACATTACAGAAATTATGGTACGTAAAATGTACATACCCTATATACGGACATACGTGCATGTACATGTATACATGTACATCTAAATGTACAATAATACATGTACATGTACAATAATACATGTACATGTACAATAATACATGTACATGTACATGTATACATGTCAACTGAAGTTCGTGGATTTTTCATTTTTGTCCAATTACACCCCTGCTATAGTCATGAAATATCTTATTTCTTTGGGGGGGGGGGAATTTCCCCCCCCCCCCCCCCCGACAGTACTTCACGAATTTTCTTCTTAATGGTTAATGGTATAAACTTAGAACTTTGAACATATATCACCCCTGGTGAGCTGTGCATATTACTCTGACATCATGATGACATCATTAGGTTTCAAATTAAAGGCGATTTTAGTTGAAAAAGTGACCAACTTCTTTCATAACTCTTGAATAAAATGATCAATCATGTTCATACTTTGTACCGTAATTTTCGGAATATAAGCCGCGCGGCGTATAAGCCGCAGCACGCAAAAATCTGCAAATTTTATTTTGAAGTCGGCGTATAAGCCGCACCGGCGTATAAGCCACACCGACCGCTGCGGTTTCAATTTTGTAAGGCCTCCAAATTCTAGTCAAAATGCTCTGAACCAGTTCCATTTACACTACAGAAGCTATTAAAAGGGCCACAAAAGTTATATCAAATCATTTACAATCGATACTTTTACAAACAAATATGGGAATTGATGAGAAATAAACACCGGGAACTGCTGCCGGCTGCCCCGTCATAGCCCGGCAGCCTGTGCCACGCACGCCGGTGAAAGACAACATTTTCCCACAGCACGTGAGAGAGTATGAAACCCTCCGTGTGTTGTCTGACTGGAGCGCTACAAATCTTGCTTTGTGGCAACAGATGCTGATTTGTTTTGTCCTAAGAATAAACAGGTCCGTTTTTACCTCAAAACTTATCAAATTGTTGCGATTACTAACGAGTAGTTGCGATAAAAATTCAAGTTTCGATCGTAACTTTCTTCGGAAATAGTCAAAACGAAGCGGACATTTTAATAGACGAATCCATTAATTTTGTAAGGGGTGATTTAGTCCCTCTTTTGAGTTTTACATCGTTTCTTGAATACATTTCAAGAAAACAAAATATATATTGTGACGTTGAACAACTGATTATGTAATAAAAAAATGTTTCGAACGCCATAAAAATGTTAGTCGTCTTTTTTTTCTTTTTCTTTTTACAGCGGAAATATTGGTAATTATTGTTCCCAAGAAAGAACACCCCTTAATTACCCCAAATGGTGTGGTCCACTGGGGGAAAGCATGCTGCATTCGCTGCTGCACTGTACCAGTATCACGTACGGCTGGTCGCAAGTGTCGAAGACAGCTTTCATCACCGTACTTTTTACCGCTCGGTACCTTTACGTGAGACGTGGTTTCGGTTTGTTAATGACTTTCTTAATTTATAATTCATTTCAGCAACACATCTCTTCTTGTACCAGTACATTAAATACACATGTGAATCTTATTTTTATTCTTCAAGGCTCGGCGTATAAGCCGCCCTGTGTATAAGCCGCAGTAAACATTTTCATGGGCAAATTCAACGTATAAGCCGCGGCTTATATTCCGAAAATTACGGTAATCAGATAGATCATTAATTGATAAACATTTTTTTGGGGTACATGAAGTCGTTTGACCTTTACTTTCGGGGCTAACAGAAGGTCAAAGTTAGGTGAATTCAAAATAAAGACATTTGCCTCTCATCAAAACAAACCAAATTTCTTTCAAAAATTTCTTTCAAACCTCTGTCATTTCTGTTTTAGCCTCTGAAGAAGAACTTGCTAAGTTCGCAACGTCAGGCCACATTAATTTTTAGATCAAATTTCTTTCAAATGGTTGATGCTAAAAGCTGGTATGAACTTGAATCCTGATCCGAAGAAGTGAAAAATTCTGTGACTTCATCATGTGACACATCAGGTATCAATTTACAAAGTGTCTAAAAAAAACACAAACCCTCAAAGCGTCCTCTTTTTCACAACTTTTAAAAAATACATTGCAAATGTAGATACATATATAGAGAGTATAAGTCCATTAGCTTTTCAACAACGAAAACATATTTCCAATTTGGTTAATATTTGTTGAGTTATGGCCAATTGAAAACAAGTACCGCTTTTTCATTTTGTCCATGGCTACTGATAATTGACTGCCGCAACACGGACCGAAACTTACATTTGTGAAAAAAGGCTGCCAAGTAGAGGGCAGAGACAGAGCAGCAAAGTAAACATCTAAGAAGTGAACCAAACAGTTCTTTTCAGGACTACCTTTACTTCCAAAAGGATAAATGACAATTGTTGCAAAAAAAACAAAAAAACTAGAGATCTATGTCTGTCTGCAACAGAACATAGGGCTTTTCCGCATTATGCTGGTTTTTTTTTTTATCAATAACACATCCCAGACTATGCATGTACAACGTTTCAATGTATACGGTACAAGAATTTTTTCATTTACATGTATTATGTAGCGTCTGTGAGATATATAATCGTCAAAAAGAAATAAATCCATATTAAATCAGACGTATCGGACTACCTTCATACGCAATTTTGACCCATTCAGACTGATAGTTTTCTCAATATATATACTAATGCACCTTTATGATGACGTCACATGCCTTAGGATGACGTCATCTTGATAACACTTGTCAATGCACATATTGCATTGTGGTCTTGGTATGTTCCAAGCTTGAAGTCAATCCAATGAAAGGAAGTGATAAATTTTGGAAGCAGAATGAAATTGTAAATATTACAAAAATCATAAAAAATCATGCGATGACGTCACCATGACGTCATTTTGGATTTTGCATACTAGTACCATTATCTAGCTATTCACCAAGTTTCATGACGATCGGACTTTCCCTGATATGTGTTTTAAAAAATCACATTTTTGATGACGTCATGATGACGTGACACATTTTCCAAAATGGTGTACATATACCTATTACCTAACATACACGTAATACTAACAGAATTTTGAATTTAGCATGTTGGGTTCGAGAGATATAGCGCTAATCTTCAAAACTTTAAAAATCTATATAAAATCACATGATCACGTCATGAAAACGTCACCTCAATTTTTACCTATAACAAATCCCGGCCTACCTACATACCGAGTTTCAACCTAATCGGAGTTGCAGTGTTGTAGATATGGGACTTTAAAATATGCAAATTTGTGATGATGTCACGTGACCCATGGTAACGTCATGATGACGTCACTCTTCAGCATACAACTCTGCCATAGGGATAGATGCCTTTGGTAACTTTGAATGATGTATGACAAAGATTAATGCCAAAAGTGGCACTGAGAAAAAACATGTACAAAGTCTATGGGATTTAGGCGACAAAAAGAAGAAGAAAGAAAAAAAATGAGAACAAAAAGAAAGACTTTTCCGCAACTATTATTGAAAGACTTTTCCGCAACTATTATTGAAAACAATAAATAAAGAAAGATTAAATTATTAAGGAAAGCAAGCCTACCCCAAATCCATTACATTCCTAACAAATGACAATGGACCGATCCAGTATGCCCCGCCCACTGCGCACGTGGGCAAATTACCACGTGCTCCTCTCCAATGCCACGCTGTATTTTCCTGCCGCGCGCATCATACGCGCGTGCACGCATGTCGGACTTCTGTGCACGCACGTCGGACATAAATCACGGCTGTGATTGGTCAGTACACCATGGGGCGGTGCTTACTGGATCGGTCCATTGAGACCGTGGACAGATTGAAAAATCGGCACTTATTTTGAATTGACCATAACTCAATAACTATGTAACTGATTGGAAACAGTTTTTAGTTGTTGGAAGCTAATGGACTATACTCTCTAAATATGTACATGTATAGATGTTTGCGATGTATTTTTTTAATGTTCTGTAAAAAAGAGGACGCTTTGAGGGTTCTTTTTTTTGACACCCTGTACAAGCAATTTACATGTAAGGTCAAAATTTGAAGAAGAAATGTGAACTTTTCAAACGAATGGAGTACCGTTCTAATATTTTCTAATCTGATAGACGTTGCCTTTTTTGGGGGATTCTCTGGCAGTGGCACAAATCCATTTGACCTTTATTTCTGGTATCACCAGAAGTCAGGTTTTTTTATTTAAATCATTGTATTTACATCATTCAGTTAAATTCAAAAACATGAAAAGTCATGTAAAAGTACATGTGTAAACAATCACATGATACGCTCGAGGGTAAGAGCTTTTAAAGAATTGTAACCAATTTGAATACACTGATGTTATCTTGGGTATCATTCCATCCAGTATGCTCCCCTGGAGGTTGATATGTTCTGGTTTATAGCTACACCCTTACTAACTTCCCATTGAGTGTCATATGCACATGGTTCGAATATTCGTAAAAAGATAAAATGTCTACAGTTCTATTAATTTTTAAAGTAGCCGTGCTAATTCCTGAGTATTTAGTGACAAAGATACTGCGGTATCGGGTACTACATGTGCCTGGTGCTTTAAGAGGAGAGCTATTTTAATTTATCACTAAAATGATAAGATAATAATAATAATAACGATGGATATTTATATACATTGTAGTGCCAAAATCCGCCTTAAAAGGCACTCTTTGCATGGTAAGAAGCCCAATGTTTTTTACCCCTCAGCCGAGAGGCTCGAGGGGTATTGTCATCGCCTAGGGCGTCCGTCCGTCCGGATGTGTGTGTGTCTGTCCGTCCGTCCGCCCGTCCGGGCAGCTTAGTTTCCGGATGATAACTTGAGTTAGAAATGTTGTTTGGGGTTGTAACTTCGGTAGGGGGTTGCCCTTGGGAGTAGGCAAGTTGGGATTGGTTTTGAGGTCAAAAGGTCAAAGGTCAAGGTCACCGTGGTGAGTTAAATGTAAATGGTTTCCGGATGATAACTTGAGTTAGAAATGAGATTTTGGTGTCTAACTTTGGTAGAGGGTTGCCCTTGGGAGTAGGCAAGTTGGGATTGGTTTTGGGGTCAAAAGGTCAAAGGTCAAGGTCAGCATGGTGAGATAAAGGTAAATGGTTTCCGGATGATAACTTGAGTTAGAAATGAGATTTTGGTGTCTAACTTTGATAGGGGGTTGCCCTTGGGAGTAGGCAAGTTGGGATTGGTTTTGGGGTCAAAAGGTCAAAGGTCAAGGTCACCGTGGTGAGTTAAATGTAAATGGTTTCAGGATGATAACTTGAGTTAGAAATGAGATTTTGGTGTCTAACTTTGGTAGAGGGTTGCCCTTGGGAGTAGGCAAGTTGGGATTGGTTTTGGGGTCAAAAGGTCAAAGGTCAAGGTCACCATTGTGAGTTAAAGGTAAATGGTTTCAGGATGATAACTTGAGTTAGAAATGCGATTTTGGTGTCTAACTTTGGAAGAGGGTTCCCCTTGGGAGAAGGCAAGTTGGGATTGGTTTTGGGGTCAAAAGGTCAAAGGTCAAGGTCAGCATGGTGAGTTAAAGGTAAATGGTTTCCGGATGATAACTTGAGTTAGAAATGAGATTTTTGGTGTCTGACTGAGGTAGGGGTTTGCCCTTGGGTACAGGCAAGTTGGGATTGGTTTTGGGGTCAAAAGGTCAAGGGTCAAGGTCACCGTGGTGAGTTCAATGTAAATGGTTCCGAATGATAACTTGAGTTAGAAATGAAATGTTGGTGTCTAACTTCGGTAGGGGGTTTCCCATTGGTACAGGCATGTTGGGACTGGTTCTGGGGTCAAAGGCCAAAGGTCAAGGTCACGTTGAGTTAAAGGTTAATGGTTTCCAGATGATAACTTGACTCTGGCTGAGGGGTTTCAACAGCAACGCTGTTATTTTTTTATTGGTCAATTGCAAGACACATTTTTTATCTTCTGGTTTTTTACATCACATCAGTGTATTTGCATTTCTATTTACCTATAAAAGGTAAAAGGAAAGAAAACCTTACTTTGATTTCCTACACTCTAAATATCCTTGTAACGTAAGATGAAAAGATCCGTTCCGTAACGATCAGCCCCTGACGTCTTGTTACAATGTACATATGCAAGAGAACGTGTGATTTGGAATTGGTACCCACATTGTGTAAGTGTAGTACACGTCAATGATCACCGTCAACCAGCGATGCCACGTGTGGCAGTCACAACCGAAAGATTTAATCGACAGGACCAGTGCTCTCTGCGTCGTCATTTTTGTACTTTGAATAAACACACAGACCTGTACCCCGGTCATAGCAGACAAATTGAAATTGATTGCTGGAATTACGGATGTCCCCAAGAACTTTCCAAAAGACTTCGGGGGTAAATTTAATATGGGTGACGTTCAAATTAAATGTACTCCGTCATTTCATGTATGTGCAGATTTTTCTAGCTATGTCTCAACGGTACTGATTCAAGCACATGTTCGCTGTTTGTCTGCTGCATACTGCTGGGTACATCCATGACTTGCATAAATTTAAATATGCATAAGGACTTTGGTCTTTGTAACGCTAAATTTAAATAGCCAAACACAAAAATTGGCACAATGATGTCATCACCCAAAAGGGCCCCCTCTAGCACCATGTCATAGACAGTTGATTTTTTTCTGAATTTAAAAAACATTTGACAAATTATACCTAATTGCCCATAAATATTCTTCGGACAATCGCAAATGACTTTACGAGGTTTCAGGATCATGACGTCATTGTGGTGGCAAATTTGAAAATGGTCAATTTTCTTTTTTCTTTTTTAAATCCAAATCCATCAATTCGGGCGATTCATAAGGCAGTGTGCAATCACTCGTACTGGAGTACTACTCGAGTCCCTTTTTTTTATCGTACTCGTACTCGAATGTCAAAGTACTGGTACTCGAAATGACGGTATTCATACTCGGGCAGCAAAGTACTTGTACTCGAATAGCAGTACTCAGGGGGGGGGGGGAAGGCATAGCTTGACCTACCACAGCCTTATTTTATCGATACTTTCAGTTTGAAATGGTTGATTGGCTTGCGGAGAAATCGCAGTTTCCTGATTTTCCTCTGTGCACGTCCAGACAAACACACTTAACAGCTAGCCGAGAGGTGGTCCGTATATCTGTCTGACTGGGCCTGGGCCAATTACACACGATGAACCATTTGCCACATGCAAATCCTAACAAGTCACATCTAACAAAGATGTTCATAGCACAAATGATGATATCAGCCACAATCTTGACCTTGGGCCTCCTAAAGTTATGATGTCGTCCAACCGGAAGTTAGGTATTATCAATACATGCACTTACTGGTAAACATTCACTGCAATCTTTATATTTTCAGAACTTCTTTAAGCCTGGTTCATACTTCATGCGAATGCGAAGCGAATTTGACGTCATGAAACATTCGCTGCGAATTTTGCCCGAGTTGAAATGTGTTCAACTTTTACGAATTAGCAGTGCGAATACTTGCCATGACGTCACAAATTCGCGTTTGCTTTCACTTACATGCCGAGTATGAACAGGGCTTTAGACTTCATGATGTATATCCTGTCTGAACTTAATCAATATTCAGTTTGCACATTTTTAACAGATGACGACATCAAACCCGGAAGTAATGTGTACTTGTAATGAAATAGTGAACTGCCCGATCACACAGCCTTTGTAACTCTACAAATACCTTAGGTCTAGTTTTTTTTTTTTACTTCAGTAAAAAATAGATGGATATGAAGTTCTACAGTTGAAAAGGTAATCAGTTAATCTGATAATTTGTCTTTTTTAAGACATTACATTTCAAGGTGTCTTGTATTAACAAAATCTGTCAATTCAAGTATAATATGTTCAGTCAGTGTGCTTTACATATTTGACTCTTAACTACCCCAAATCTGCCAAACAATTCTGTATCTGGTTTAGTGAAATGGATTCAAGACTGTACGGCCAATGCTTGAAATCCCTATTTTGTTTGTTACAGAGAATTTGTTATAGGTTTCTTGCACGGCCATTTCATTTTGGCAGATTGGCAGAGACACTAGTAAAATGATTGATGATGTAAGACTAGGAGTTATTTCCCTCTTCAAAATTATTGCTATGTTGTAATAATTAGGCTGGTGTGTAGTAGAGCCACATAACTTTTTGTAGAACCACTAACGTAGTGTTACTGTTAAGATATCCTTTCACTTTTCAGTAGTTCACAGCAATCATCTTCAAGTTCTGGCCAGTCAGTGACATCTCTCAACAAAGCGACTGAGATTGCCAGTGGACCACATGGGCAGTACATCCTGGACAAGACTATACAGATATCACAGGTGACATAACATAAACAAATTATCAGTTGTAAATTCCTTAGTATTCAAGTCACGTATCCCATGCTCTTAAGCAAAAAAATAGATTTTTGGGGGTTACAAAATTTCAATAAGGCCTTGTTAAAAACAATTAGTTAGTTAGCATCCCCGTCCGACCCAAAGTTAAAATTCTGCTAAAACAGAGAGAGGAGGTCGACGTTTTGCGATTGATACCACAATCCCGCGATGATAACATAGCAGCAGAACCCGCGATATAACAAAAATCCCCGACCAACCCAGAAAATTGAGATCAAAAGGATGCTAACCAACCAATTTGGTTTGTTGTAAACAAGCAACAAGTTTCCCCCCAATTTTTGGGCTCTGCAACCCTAAAAAAAATACCTTTAAAGTACTACGACACAGAAGCGCCTGAACCATGTCATGTTGTTGAATTACCACAAATATCTGACTGACAAGCTGAAATGGTAAATAAAGAACTTGTAAAGAACCATTGTTGTCTGGCATTAAACACAAAGCAGCCTTCGCATAGTGTTTGTCCAAAGAAAAAAGTGTTGAAGTGGATATTCCTGAACAAGTATAATGCTGCCCAGGCAACCTATTTTGAATTCAAATAAAATGTGCAAAAATAGATTAATTTATAAATGTTTCATCTCCAACACTAACTCTCATCCCTTATCTCATCTTCTTAAAAATGGGGAGAAATTCACATGACAATGTAAATAAATAAACCACAATTTGGGCCAGTTGGTTTCCGAGTACGTATTCAACCTCTGTAATGTGCTGGGATCCCAATCACATGTATGTAGTGCAAAAGCTGAGCCTGGGACCCCCCCCCCCCCCCCTGCCCCACCGCCCTTCGAGTCAGAAATATTGTCGGGACACTAATAATTTGCATGTTGTATTTCAGTAATAAATCAATAACCACATGGTTGGGTTTTTTGGTTGATGAGTCATTCATTTGGAAAACAAATATTTTTCAGGTGAAATTCCCAATGGTATGGGGAGTGCATCTTAAAAATGTGAAGATGTGGGCACCACAAGTGAGAAATCTTGGGGACTTTTTCAAAGAGAAATGCAGAATTTTTTTAATTTTTGTTTGATGTTCTGTTTTGTTTTGTTTCATAAAGACTGGCAGTTGTCGTGTGATAGGATTTGACCAGTTTCACAGTGCTCTAGTAGTATCCATGCCATCTCCCAATCAGCTTTTCCCTGGCTTTGGGGTTAAAAAGGTGAGATTTGCTTGTGTTTAATTTTTCAACAATTATAAATAAGAGGAAAAAACATTCAAACATCTTGCAAACCCATGATTAATATGTATGAGAATTCTCTGTTTCAGGTACATGTGTATTTGGATTGTTTACTTATGGTATTAACCCTCATTGAGCCAGTCACAATACATTGCATCAGGTGGAAAAGTCTGGGGCACTTTGATGCACTCAGCTACCAACACCAGTGCGTAAACGACAGCTTCTGAGACAGTGAGAGCTAAACTCATTGAACAATGCCACAGTTGTATCCTGCTGCATTCGGTGACCACAGACTCTGATGTTTATCTAAGTACTATACGAAGAAGTTTAATATTAAAACCCATAAAATATTTCAATAAAAATCAAATCTGTGTCTGTGGCGGAGCTGGCTATTCTATTAGGCCCACCTGCAAACTCCCAACTAAACTGCCCCCCACTTCTTGAATGAAATCTGGGGTTGGGTCGGCCCGATATTCCTGCATAGTCAAAGCAATATGTGGCGGTGTATTGTCCTGCTGAAATGGGAATTCCAGGTCACGTAGACTCGTCCCACACTTCTGTGGGGGGAGGGGGGGAAACCTGCTTAAAAGTGTATAAAAAGTGTATAACAAGGTTCAACTGAAGACGTTTGATCAAGGAAGTACATCTGTAAAGCTAATGTTCCAGTCTTCCAGATAAAACTGACCAGCAAAGAAAACAAAATAACGTCTGCTAGTTTTCTTTTCAATCAGTCTGACAAATGGTTGAGATTTAAAGGGGGTAACACTGTTACAACATTTGAATTCATTCAGCATTCAGAAAAAACTTTGAGCATCATGTTTTTTGTAATAAATATATATTTCTCATTACCCTATGCTAATTAGTCTAAGGTCTCGGTCTCGCCCATAAGGTCTCTGTCTCGGTCTCGGCTTTGCACCCTGGGGTCTCGGTCCTCAGGTCTCAGTCTCAGTCTCGGTCTCGAGCTTTCAGGTCTCGACTACAACACTGACAGCTGGTGTGTAAATACTTTTGCATGCCAGTGTATAAATATGTGTGTATATTATGTAATATATTGTGTCTGCCACCCTGCTAAAATTTAAGGCCGTGGAAAACACTGCTATTGATGTATTGTTTTAATCAAAAATCATCATTTAACTCAGATTTCATATTGTTCTTACCTAAAAGTGTCTGCTCTATAGACAAACATGAATTGTGTAAGCTGCAACTTGGCCAGCGGTAGCAATCAGGCTGCACATCCTGAAAGGTTCCAATGTGGTCACATGGCCACCTCAAAGAGCCAGCGATTAGACTGCTAGTGTGCAGGCTGCAATTGGGCCAGCTAACTCAAAAGCCAGGATTTGTTAGCACTGGAGTCCGATCACAATAGCATTGTGTACGCTACATCCCCACGTAAAAAGACAAAGTGCGTTGGGCAGTAACGACCCATGAAAAAAGTTTTGCGATCTTTTTACGCTTCTTTGTGACTGTTTAGACTGCAGTTTCTTATGGACTGGCCGAACAAAAGTTTGAGATAAACGAAAGTGCGGGCATTTCGAGTTGCGGGGATATTCATGTACATAATATCCTATTTTCTTAATGGGAGTGGTGTTATTACTTTGAGATAAACAGAGCTTCGAGTTTGATTTAACAAGCGTTTACTCTATAACTGGATTGTATTATTCACTAGTGAATGAATCTTGTATGAATCAGTTCTCATTCTTAACAGGTGAGTGCAGTTGATATGCGATGCACTCAGTATGTACCCGTCCACTCAGCTATGATCAGAGCACTCACCTTCAATGGACGAAACGACGGTCTTATGTTGACTGCCTCAACAGACAAGACTATTAAGATGACCAGTCTTGTCAGCAATGCAGTGGTACAAACGTATGTACTTTTTAAAAGTTTCTGTAAAGACATTTTCTCTCACTGGTTTGTTTACCATACACATAGCACCAATACTTCTTTTCTGAAAAGTGTGTAGAAATGCTCCAATTCTATAAAGTTCACTATGACACAAAAATGACATTACGAGTCTGAAGATGGTGGGTTAAGTCCACACAGTTGAGTTTGCAGTGTCTGTGTACCTGGGCAAGTGGTTTTATTGCTTCTCCAACCCAGGAGTTAATAGTTACTGTCTTGTAAGGCAGAGATGAAACAGTATTTCAGGTATCCATTTGTGCTTAGATAACAATTGGGCTGCATAATCCCCAGGATTTGAGATGGTGTTTGAAATGTTTTTGTGAGCATGATTAAAGCCAGTTTGGCATTCAAACTTTGTGATAAACATTGCAGAAATCAAATGTTTACAAGTTTAGCCTAAAAATAAAAAATACTCAATAATACGGTCCTTGGTATCCCACAAATCATTTGAGAGAATCTATATTAGCTGCAGGGCAACTGCCTTTCCTGCGTTATGTGAGTCTTCACCCTAACTCCTTCTAACTAGTGCAGACACTAATAACTACCCATCCACTTGGCTGGCTGGTATTGGCTTACAGGTTTGAATTGGATGTAAGCAGGGCACCCCAACAAAATCTTGTATGATGGAATTTCTGCATCTGGAAGGGGTAAATGATTAATATTAAGAATCTGAACGGATTCTGTGTCTTGGGGGTACAGTTATGTATAGTGAATGGTATTGTTTCATATCTTTCCAGGTATAAGACAGATGCACCTGTGTGGAGTTGTGCTTGGAACTCTACTGATGTCAACTATGTCTATGCCGGCCTGCAGAATGGTGCTATCTTGGTTTACGACACCAGACAAGTGAATAGTGAGGTGCACCGCTTGGCACTAGATAACTCTCGATGTCCTATTGTGTCTCTGAACTATGTACCGAGGGCTGCTGATCAGTCTCTTGGGTAAGTACAGAATGCACTGTTTTTCCCTGATTTGGCCATCAGACCTGCCCACGATGCTTGTGATAAAGTACTTATGTCTGAGCTGCCATCGTCGAACCAAAAGCAGTGATCTTATTGGTCAATGCTCACTGTTTGATTCACAGACAGAAAAGGTCCATAGAGATGTTGTTTATTCATGTGTGTATGTCGATGCGTATACCAGCTATCCGGTGCCTTATCTGTTTCTTAAGTTTCGTAAGTCAGCAATGGAAGCAGTTATCCAAAGTAGCAGTGAACATATTGTGTCCATTGCTGATAACTTCCATATTCCTTTTGGAAAACACAAACAAAAACACACACATTTTTATGCCCCGCGGCGAAGCCGAAGGGGCATAAAAACAATAAAAATCTTGTATTTATTCTGAGATCATAGGGATTGGGGATTAATTCATATAAAACCTACAGAAGACACTAATGCTGTAAATGAACGTTCCATGTGACCAAGGTACGTGTAAGTTGATGTTAAAAGAGTGGTGTTATGTCATGGGAACAGTCACGGTTGCGGGGCATTTGTGTTTGTAAACACACCTGACTTGTTTGAAATAAATTCGTTTTTATTCCAATCATGCTTGATTTAATAAATTAACAGCGAAGCAGTTAATGAGAAAGTTCCTATAAATATCATTTGATGTTATTTTTCTTTCTTAAAGATGTGGGGGGCTTCTGATGGCATCCCTGGGGGGCATGTCCTTCTGGGAGCAAACTTCCGACACTGAGTTCAAGCCTCACCTCCTCCAATTGGATGGGAAGTGTACCTCACTGAGCTTCCATAATAAGAGCAGACACTGTCTGGCCTCCTTCCGTCCAAATCAGAATCATAACAGTACTAGACATGTGGTAAGTAGAAATCTATGTGTTTGTGAAAGGCAGTACCTAAAATGGATGTTGTGAATTGAATTTTGTGTGTACAATACCCAAATCATAGCTAAGAAATAAGATACAAGTTTGGCACATTTGTGTTTGCCGTCATTCTTGTTGGCTACAAAAAGTAATATTTTCTGTCTGATTGTTATTTTCTCTTAATTCATCATAGCCTTTCAACATGTTTTCCTTTGACTTAGACATGGTTCCCACAGTCATGGCAAAATCCTAGAAATTCCTGGAATTTGACGTTGTCATTAAAAATCGTGGAATGTTTATTATTTTATTTTAAAAGGAGTCATGGAAAGTTGATATTCTTAGGAAAAAGTCATGGAAAAGTCATGGAATTCTGCACAAGCCATACGTGATGATGGGTAATATTGGGCTATGGCAGTCTCCCAGTTTGCATTTTAGTTTACTGTACTTGCTCTTTATGCTTTACACTGGTTGCATGTTCCATGTCAAACATGGATGGCTCCCTTGCCTCCTTGTGATGACTGGCCAGTGTATTGTAAGTAGGCTCCTATGAAAAGATGCCAAAACAGTGTAGGAATTGGTCATGGAAAGCCCTTATTTTGTCCTGGAAACGTTCTGGAAATGCAGTCCTTAATTCCATTACAGAAAACATCTCACCTCTGTTTACCTACATTTGCATATCAGCGCAAATGCGCACAAACATTCGCTGAAAAGCATAGTGCCCAAGCCTCACCCTCAGCATCCACTACATGTCCCTTAATTAGCCCTGTTACACAAAGACTCCTCCTAGTTTTTTCAGTGACGCATAGCGTCAACACGTACAATTTAACCGTACTCACTGTGCCTGTAAAAACATGGCGGACTCCGCCAAAAATAGTAAAACTGTTACTGTTAGCTCAAGTCGTTCTTCCGAAGGAAATTAAATCACCCTCCATCCAACACTCCAAGCGTGATATTTCCGCCACTACGACCGGGTCTAATCCCCGGGTTCGACGGTAGGAAATACCCCGGGAACATCAGGCACTTCTCTCCAGCGAGAGTCACTGCAAGATTCCCGAAAAATCCTGCACATTTGACAGTCTACAAGAGCACATGCAAGCAGCAGAATCAGAGATGTGCTTGCGGGTAGGCGAGGCTTTGCGTTCGATACCCATAGGTCCCTCGGTAATTCGACCAGCCCGCCCGGTCACAGAGGCGGGGCACCACCCGACCACCGCCATCCTCATCTACTCTACACGGAAGTACACACCATGATCAAGCTTTCCGGGCAAGCCCGAGATTATCTCCATTACCTTCAGTACCAAGTGGACTTTTGCGTGTATTTTATATATTTTATACATTTTATCATGTTCTGACTTTAAAAATACAAGTAATAAGGTTTGATGTACTTTTATTGTGAACACTAGATTTAAATGAACTGAAATTTCAAATTTTGAGAAACTTAACAGGGACTGCATGCACTGCACTGCCATGCCACGCGATATCGACACATGGTGCAGCGTGGCCACACATCAAAATGGAAAATTCCCAAGAATTCCCAAGGACAATGGAAAAATAATCCCAAGGAGTCGCCACACGTGCGTGGTTTTTACCCAACAGAGGGCGCACTTTATTAACCAGTTAAGCCACTTTACGTTACCGATGGGTACTCGTCGATCGTCGTGGGATTTCTCCACACTCTTTGAAGGATTTTGGGGTTCCTTTTTAACTCCGAGACAAACTTCCATTTTACTGTGGATTTTTCATCCAATGTACGCACCGTTGTGATGTTTTCTCAACATCACTCCGGTTAATCTAACCAGCTGCTCTACTGTCCACGGCGCCGGGGGATCGACCCGGCGCGGACCGGTACCGCCTCCCGAGCCCAGCCTGTTTGCGGTTCCAACTTGCGATTTCAATTGGACTCGGACGGAGGATTGACTTCGGACGTTCGGGCCGATTTGATTGTGATTACTTCATTACTCATTGGAGTCGTCTCCCATGCTCGAGATTGCCTTCTGGGTTTTCTCTTCTAATTCCATTTATTCAGTGCATATGTGATGACAGCCTTTCCATTAGCAGCACTCGATCGGCTAAGGGTAAGCTTTCAGTTTTTCCATCCTATGACAGTGGGGTGGTCCTCTTGAGCATGTTCATAATACAGGCTCACATGTAACTACGCTCAAGCTACCTTTGGATAGTATGTTGCAACCTGATGCCACTTTTAGTTTGATATCAGTTACAAGATTGTTAAAAAAAAATTTTTTTTAAATAGTCTTGACTCTCCATAGACTTGTACTCAAACGTTACTGGCGTCTGGATGCTGCATTCTTTCCCTGCTTCTTCCCAATAGATACGCTTGTGTTGGGGAATGTCGTGAATGAGGATTCCTTCTACAGATTCCTTGATATTCTATCACTTGAATAACTTGCTCAGCTGGCCTGTTATATTCATCAGCCTGTTGGGATGGTTTGTTGATTATTACAATAGACCAAGGATTACTGCCTTACTCTTCAATCCATCTATGCCACGGGGCCTTCACAGAATATTCTTCTTTGTCTGGTACCCTTGCAAGTTGTCATGATATCTCTCTTAACTGATGCAGGTTTTATTGGAGATTTTATCATTCTGCTTTATTGTCTAGATTGTTGGAATTGCATTGTTGCTAATTCGGGCTATATAGCATTCTTGTCTTGGATGAATGTTTCCTTTGCATAATGTCAAGTTATGGCAAGACTATGGTGCAAGATTCCATACTTTGAGATAAGTTAATCCTCATCGGTGCTTAGCATGCATGTACATCTTCTACGTTGAACCGGGTCTCAAACCAGCATGATTCAACTGACTCAGATTAATTCTTCAGCCAGGAGTTTTGTAGACCGGTCTTCTTCTTCATACTTAGCTTACAGCAGAATCTTGACATATCTTCACTGCTTCGAGTCTTTAGAACAAGTATTTGTCCTACAGAGTCCGGCCAGACGTGGTTTTATGTAACTTCATTACATAAGGGACACTTCATACAGACACTTCTTCGAAACATTGTCTGGAATTCTTATCTACCTCGGTTCTCCCTGACCACGAGCTTCTGCCTCAACATACACTTGTTTGTTGCTTTTGAGAAGGATATCTTTCATTAGGGAATGAACTAGATCAGGATACTTCCAACTGGATCGGGTGTCGGCTTACTTCACCCTTTTTCTCAGTCAGTGGCAGTCTGACACATGTCAAACTTTGACATGCAGCAAAGGAATTCAGATGGAAATGCCTTCTACTTCCCCTCAGTCTCTGGAGACAGGTTGGTTTGCTGCTTCCATCAATCATTGGGATAGGCCTACTAATGTCCTTGTACAGTACCCCTTGTACAGTACCCATACGTGGATCATCAGAAGTTGGAGTTCTGCATACCTACAGGGTTTTGCTACAGACCTTTTGGATTTTCACAGCTCCTTTGGGTCTTTATAAGAATCACCGTTGTTGTGGCAACATTCCTTTTTACAGCAAAACAGATCAATTTGCTCTTGTACTTAGATGATAGGCTATAACAGACCTTACATGTATCTCCAGTATAGCCTTTAACAGTCTGCCTAACTCGCACTTGATGTTGTTTTTCATCTTCAGTATCAAGCTCCTTCACGACAGCTGACCTACCTTGAAACATTTTCCAACTTACTGGGGAACGTTAGACACAACGTGATGGCATCAGAACCTTCTGTCATCTTGATGATAGACCTAGTTCCCTGGTGCATGACACACAGGCACTCTGTGCAGCCTTTTCTTTGTCTTCCATCTACGCTAAGAGTCATCTCCAAAGGGATTCCAGTTACCCATCTTAGCTATGGCCTACTGCACTTTTCAGGACAATGTACGGGTTAACTACATCTTCTACCATCGCAATGGGTACCTCGGACAGGGTTTGAGATTCCATCTGGATGGTCATTTAGTACCAAGCACTTGGCCAATTAAAGAGAGCCAGTTGCATTCCTTCAACCAGAGCTATTGACAGTGCTCAAGGCCTTGCATTTGCTCATATCCAAAGTCCTAATCAAGCTTGTCTTGGTCCAGACGGACAATTCCACAGTTCAGATGTACATGTAGTGTACTACATGCTTTGTCCGGGGAACTCACTCTTTCTTCCTGCCTGTCCACTTTAGAGCCACCCAGTTGGCTGTTCCTTCTAACGTTCCACTTGGCCAGAAAGAAGGTATTGAATTTACTTCAACAGAACGATTACTTCTCCCATCAGTATTCAGATAAAGGTCCTCAACATTCTCAGAATTCTACCGGTACTTGCACCTATCTACATGTATTTGCATCCCTTCCAGGCTACCAGCTTCCAATTCCAGCCTTTCGCCAAGTTTATACTCATCCTATGGTCCTCTGGTCTAGAAGAATCCTTCAGCTTCAACGCAACAGGAATTCATGCATTTGATAGACAGAGTTATGTAAATAATTGTAGCACTCATACATGTAGCTCCTTTTTGGCCACAGCAGCCATAATCCCTTTACTCCTGGACCACCTTGGGCTCACAACAATAATTCTACACGCAGACACGGCTACATGTACTCTCCATCTTTGTGCCTGGATACTATCATTATCTGAAAGTTACAGTCTTTACAGTCAGAAGCAAGTTGATTCCCCATGGGGTATGATAGTAGCTGCCAATCCCCGATCTGCATAGTACATCTTCATTTGGGATTTCGCTGACAGGCTTTCACTCCAGTTTCAGATAACTACTGTCCAGGGTTACCGATGAGCCATAATTGTAGTCCTCTATCAGGGTTCCAATGATAGATCTACAGTTTCCTCAAAATCACTCTGATGCACGGCAGGTTTATCAGTTGACCTCCTACTGTGAAGTACCGGTAGATACATTGTAGGCCTACCATCTTTCGATCCAAGTACCGTCCTTGGGTCACTCGCCTAAGCCCCATTTTGAACCAACAGGTACATTGAAACTCTCCTTTCTGTCAGGTTGCAAAACCCATATTCTTACTGGCTGCTTCAGTAGCTTGCCTTAAGA